CTTTTTTTACAACTTTTGATCCTATTAATCCTGGTGATCTATGTCTTCTAAATGCGTGCTTTTGGTCAACTTTGATTTAATTTCCTCTATCATAGCCTTACGGGTATGGATAATAAATTTAGATGGATTCTCGCATATGTACACTCCTATCCAATTTGTTCCCTCCTTTACCAAACAAGTCTAGAAAGGGTACTCTATCGCATTTTCCTAAATTCATTCATTTACCTAAGGAATTCTTCGAGGCTCTTTTTGCCATTCTGCCAGATCGCAAAGTATTCGTCCATTTATCTGATTATTAGCGTATGAACTAGGAACGCCCCCTGAATTAGCCAAATCGCTAAGTTATTCGCCCAAAGTGGATAAAAACACCATACCATAGCTAAACCTTGTGCACAGAAACTAAAATGTATACTATCCTGACTACTTCTTTGTTTATCTTTTTTCTCTTATAATCTCTGGGTCCTGATCTAATATTAGGTCTAACGCCTCTATAGTTCTACTCACCGCAATACTAGTGTAGATTGATGCGACATCAAAACTTAAGAGAAAATCTTTCCTTTATATCATATTCATAAGAATTATTTATTTAAGTAGAAATTCCGCATTGGTGATTTTTTGGTTAATGATGATTCCTGACTTTAACGATGTTGATTATATGACAGACAAAATCTCATTAAAAATTCATCAGAGCCGCATATCGGTGAGCAGTTTACGTTCCACTCTTTTAAGCAAAATGAAGGGTTCTTCAACTTAAATCTAGTAAGGGGTTTTTTGAAACCCTGCTTCTCTTTATCCTCATTTGCTATTACAATTTATGACGTTACTTTATTAGATGTGAGTATTGTTTCGAAATTACAAACTGCTCTTGATTAAGAACTTAATCACCCTCGGTCGCTTAAGGACCTTGTTGCACCACTGCCTAAGTTAAAGATCTATAAAGCCAGGATAGCGGATTTGGATCCTGGCTAGGTTTGGCATACGTGCGTATTTAGCTAGTAGCAAAAACATCCTTAATTAATATGCTCTCATATGGATCAATTCAAGACTTAGATCGTGCTCTGGCCATTTTGATGGCTTGGGGAGTCTTTAAGGAAACTAAAGCGACAAACAAATCCTATCATTTGCTATTGTAAGTTTAGAATTTTTCCAAATTTTGGTAAAACGAATGACTATTATCTTCACATATTAATCCGTCGTATTATTTAACACATTCCAAATCATCTTTCTGCAGTTTGTGCTTCTGGCGCCATCGCTCGCAGCCAACTAGACTTACTTGAAGTGGCTTCCGAAGTTGGCTCGGATTGGCCAAAACTGGCTGATTTATTACTGAATGAGATAGATACGAGCCGACTGAAGCCGAATGCTGAGAGCCTTGCTGATTGGTTGTCTTTAAACAGCGCTTACTGGATTCAAAACATTGAGGCTCCTAGTTCAACTAGAAATCTGGATCATCTTACTTCATCTGACCTGAAGACTGACCGAGATCGGGCTCTTGCCATTTTGATGGCTTGGCGAGCCTTTAAGGGAACTGAAGCGACGGGTAAATAGTGTATTTTGCAGTTATAATTTTAAGTTTTCATAGCAACTAATAATTATTATATCCACATATTGATCTATTCTTTCTTTTTTATTATGCATCATTTAAAGGTAATCAGCTTGACCGTGCATTGCGTCTGATTGGGCGTGAGGATGTATTCAAGTCTTGCATGCGTGATATTCGACACGTTAGCCAAGCTGATGAGATAGATAAAGTAAGCAAAAAATCCTTGAAGACCAAGTTACTGGCCCCTCTCTTTTGGCTGTATTCACATTTTGTTGGGTGTAGCTGGCCTGATCTTGTTTTCACAACTTGCTCATGTTATGAGGGTCACATCGATGAACTTATCTTGTCCGAAGTCCTCTGCCATAGTAGTCATGGAAGTTTTTCAGCGTCTGACTTGGTGCATTCCTGGAAGTTTCGTCGGAATCTCAATCGACATCGCCATTAAGCCTTACCAATCTTCCTACCAAGCTACAACTCTTCAAAGGCATAATTGAAGTCCATCCCTTGACTAACTTCTTGCTGAACAATTGAATCGGGTCGTCGAAGTCATTGGAGAGAATCTGCAATGAGTAGGAGAAATTGTCTACACAATAAAATTGCCATGCCTGTTCAACACTTCCTGCACTTAAGTAGCGAGAGGAATCTATTGGATAGTGTGATTACGTCCAAAAAGGCCCATCTCGAAAGCAGCTCATAATAAAAAAGTTTATAAGTAAGAATGAGTGGGATAGCAGGATAGATAAAAACGAGAAAGTTGCTCAAGGTGTAAGTTTCATTCGTTTATGATGCATTATTACTTTGTTCTAAGATTGGCAAGGCCCGTTGACGCCTGAGAATGTTCTAAATCCCCCGTTAGATTGCTAAACCAGACAACTCTAGACATTAAAGTTGCCTTGACGACACAACCAAGTTGAGAAAATGAGTTCAAATCAATTTTATCTATTTTCATGTCTTTTCACCCCCATATTCCTATTCCTAAATTCTTTGAATTATTATTTAA